CTAATAAACAGTTGAAGTTGAAACATTAGAATTTTAAATGATGATTAATAGTCTGCCTTTTTAAAGAAAACATTAAGGGAAGTAACAGGTATACAACATTGACTATAAAGTACTTAGCTGCTGCCTATAGCAGTAGTTCCTTGAACAATTTCAATTGAGGCTACAGAAGAAAATTCTAAATGTGCAAGACCTGTGCAAGCATTGCTCCTTTGCTTTTCCTTTTTCATTCTGTATTTGCCACACTAACCTATGTAGGGTACTGGGAATCATTTAGTTTCATAAGTACAACTTATTTTTATGGTCTGTATTTCTACCACTATTCATTGTCCTATGCACTAATTTGTCCATCTATTCCTCAATCGATTGATCCATCTGTCCAACTTTCCATCCATCCATCCATCCATCCATCCAGTGAGTATTATATGCCATGTGTCACTAGGTGCTTGAATATTGATACAAGAAAGGAAGAGACAGAGAGACAATAATAGACTTTTCCTGTTTTCTTGACTCATATTATTAGGTAATCACATGTAGACATTTAAGATAATTGCTTTAGAGTTGACAAAACTCTTTCCAAAAAGAAGTATATTTTAATGCATAGTCTGAGAGTTAAGCATTCTTTAACTAGAAAGGTTGGTTTCTTGTTTTTCCTCCTTCCCTCCTCTCTTCCCTTCCTTCCTTCTCTCCCTTCTTCCATCTTCTCTTTCCTTTCCCCTTTCCCTTTTCCCCTTTCCCCTTTCCTTTTTCCCCTTTTCCTTTCCTTTCCTTTTGTTTTCTTTTCTTTTATTTTCTTTCTCTCTTTCTTTGTCTTTAGTTCTTTTTTAGAGACAGGGTCTCACATGTTGCCTAGGCTGGACTGCAGTGGCATGGTCATAGCTCACTGCAACCTTGAACCATTGGGCTCAAGTAATTCTCCTGCCTCACCCTCCCAAGTAGCTAGGACAGGCATGTGACCAGCTGATTTTTGTTTTTCTTGTGGAGACAGGTTCTTACTATGTTGACCATGCTAGTCTCAAACTTCTGACCCTCAAGCAATCCTCCTGCTTCCGCCTCCCAAAGTGCTTAGTTCCTCTTGAAAGAAGTTTATTATTGGATATAATTATAGTTTACCCAAATCTTTCCATAGGATATGAATTCTTAATTATTATTCAAACTGTGGTCCCATGAAGAGTCCTCTGTGTTTGCAGGATTCTCTAGGGTGATAGTTGCAGTAGATACTCATCTGTGCCTGAGGCTGGTCCCAAAGCATGGACTTCTTAGTAGGAGAACTTAGCATTGCCTGAATAAGGTGCTGGCCACATGGGCTCAGGCACCAGCCTGACTTTTGTCTTCTCTGATAAGCCAAGATCTACTTTGTAATCACAGCAACATTGGCTTAGTTCGCACCTGGGGCTTAGGCATGCTTCGGATTTGACCTTTTCCTCCTGGATTGAGCCTTGGGAATCTCCATCACATTCAAGTGATCCTGGGTTTTCAGTAAACATGGAGGAAGGGTAATCCTGGAGTAGAAAGTATGGCAGGGGCACAAAGGACCAGAAAAAAAGGAGGTTCCTGTATACTATGGCATCCTCAAAGCAGGCTACTTGGGTGAAATACTTCACCTTTTAATTTAATCATCTTCTTACTCCCAAGTGTCATCATTTGCTTGGCTGAGCACTTCTCTCTTGCATTCTCTCTCAGCTTTTATAATTCACAATTTGGAGGACCCTGAGACTTTTTGCTTTATTATCTATGAACACCCTAATTCTACTGATTAAACCAAGGGAACAGAATGAGAAGATCTCTAAGACCTGAATTCTGTGATTCTACTTAGCTTTTCTTCACCCTTGGGGAAATCCAGCACTCTTGTTCTCATTCACTCCCTTCAGGTGGAAAAAAATTAGTGGGAGACTTCACATGATCACTTCTGCCCCCTCTTTTCCTTTTGGAATTCTTTCTTAGTTGACTCACAATGATTGTGTGCTGTTTTCTGCTGGCCAGAAGGAAAGCAGCTTAGAACTCAATCATGTCTTTATCCATTTCTGGATCTCTTATCTTTAAAATGAAGGGATTGAACCAGGTGATTTCTGAGGCCTCTTTCAGTTCTAACATAACATGGTCCTAGGGTTTTCATGGAGCAGAAATTCATGGGATTTTAGATGTAAAAATCTAGATTTATGTGTGAGGGGTGGGGTAGGGAAGAGTTTTCTAGGAGATCTAATCAAAAGGCAGTAGTCAGATATCAGAAGTCTTTTATTAAGGGCTGAATTTTGTCCCCCTCCCCCAAAATTCAAATGTTGAAGTTTTAACCCCCAGTACCTCAAAATATGATTGTGTTTGGAGATAGCGTCTTTATAGAGGTAATTAAGTTAAAATGAGGTGAATAGGGTGGGCCCTACTCCAATCTGACCGGTGTCCTTATATAATACAAAGAAGATATTTGAACACAGATATGTATGGAGGGAAGACACCTAAAGACACAAGGAGAAGAGAAAGGAGCCCATTTATAAGCCAAGGAGAGAGGCCTGGGATAGGCCTCCCTCTCTAAGACCCTAAGAAAGGCTGATACTTTGACTTTGGGCTTTCAACCTCCAGAAAGGTGAGAAAATAAATTTCTGTGGTTTACACCTTCCAGTCTGTGGTACTTTGTTGTGGCAGCCTAAGCAAACTAATATCTCTTTTATATCTGCTTCCAAAGTGCAAAAAAAAAAAAAAAAAAAAAAAAAAAAACAGTTCAGCAATTTCCTTTTAAAGTTACCTCATATGCCTCACAGGCCTTTTAGGCAAATACCTGATGCCCTTTGGCATGAACCCTGAACTTGACTAAGAAATGCAGCCTCCAGTGATAGCAGGAAATGAAATCTGGGAATTTGTATGACACAATTAAGTCTTGCTGAGAATTTTGGGCTAATATTTAACTCTGAATATATATTGACATAGGGAATTCTTCTATAACAGATTAATGCAAAATTTTAAAATGCATATAAAAGTCTTTATTTTTCTCTAAATGTCTAAATTATTTTACTCTTTTTAATTGGTTTTTGGGGGATGAGGAATGGTATGTCTTATTTATTGCTTCTTTAATTTTTTTTTTTTTTTTTGATTCTTGCCAATGTCTTTCTTTGGGCTTTCTTGGGCATTACATTTTTCTTTTACATTTTCTCCACATTTCTTAGCCACATTCCCATAACAGGTTACTTTTGTTTCCATCACATCTTAGTCTAGCTCCAGCAGGCCTCTATCACATTTCCTGCTTTTCCTTTGTGCTCTCTGTTCCTCTCTCATCATCCTTCCTTCTGTCTGCTTAGTTCTCCTCTCCTCCAGTTTTCTTTTTTGCATCTGTGTTCAGCATTTCTAGTTCCAGTCTCCCTCCTCTGCTCTTTCTTCTTTGCTCTGATCTGCTGATTTGCTTCTGTCCCTTCTTCTGCTCCCCTCCTGGGCATTTCTTTGGCCCAACTATCCTTCTCCTCTTAGACTTCATGTTCTTGTTGGTAGATGGGGGATGGTACTGTAAGCATCACAAAAACAATCATATTGAGAACAGGCAGCTCCTATGGTGTCCCTGAAGACATGAGTCCCTGAAGACAGAGCCTTTGGGTGAGCCCAGAATGCCTGGGCTCCATATGATGCAGGAGACAGAATTGGTGCTAGAGAGGGCTCTATATCTTAGTCACAAGAGCCATCATTGCAGAACCTTGGTACTCCTGACACCTGCCCCTACCCCAACAAAAAACTGAGAGGCACTGAGACTCCTGAAAAAAGAAAGAATGAACCTGCCTTCACCTCCCTCAAGCATATGTTCCTACCAAGTTTCTTCTGTGGTCTTTGCTCCCTGATTCACCATTGGCTACTGTGTTCTGTGTGCACTGGGTCCGGCCGAGTCCCTTTCCTTTCCTAGGGGTGGCACCCTGGGTCACATCTCTGCTAAGCCTTCACAGTCCTCCTCCAGCCTCAGTTGCAGTTTAGGACCAGGAACCAGCAAAGGTGTCATTCTGAACCTCTTGGTCTGTCATCTAGTACCCTCTGCACAATGTTAGCTCTAAAGATTAAATCCACACATTGGCATTTATTTTTCAACAGAGTCCCCAAGAAGACTTAAATGAGAGCTTTTTGTTTCTTTATTCATCTTTCTCGCTTTCTTTTCCCTCCTTCACTATTTCCTTAGTTCTCTTTCTTTCTACTTAATGACTAAAATTTTAGTTAATCCTTTATATTCATTTGTTCATTCATTCACTCATTCAACAAAAATCTATGAAGTGACTAAATGTGCACCAGATGTTTTATATACTTCTGATGGCACAGATGGTACCTCTAAGGTTTGTTTATGGTCTAACTATTAGAAAAAGATGCCTGCAAATTTTGATCACTAGAAATTTCTAGGTGTTCTTGCGGCCAAACAGAAATTTCTATTTTTCATTTTTTTCTTTAATTATGCTTGCACTGAATGTGAATTTTGAATAGTTTCCATTAGAATCATTTTTTTCTTTGCACAATTGCAGAATCCCAGAACTTGAAAGGTTACATGCTTTGTTATTAATTATAATTTTGACAGACATTATCATTGGTCCAACAGTTACTTTGTGCAGGCATGTGAAAAGCATCTTAAAGTATGTGCATTAGTGTTCTTAATTTTGGCTATAGCCTAATGTGGTAGATATTGCCATTACCCCAAGTTTACTGATGAAACTGAGGCTTGGGTAGGTTATACTATTTGGCCAAGAGCTTTCAGCTGATGAGTGCAGAAACTAGGACTTCAGTTTTGTCTGATACCAAAGCCCATGTTTATTTAGTCACTGTTTTCCACAGTCTTCCAATCCTGAGATAATCCAGAGTAGTGGAAGGGGAAATTTGCAATGTAGAGTGACCAAAGAGATGGGCATCGAATCCATCCCTTTGGTGGGAATGGAGCTTTTCTGCCTTGTAAGCCAGGAGGTTATGGGGTAGGATTTCTGTTTGGCCCACCCACATGTATAAGACAGAGATCACCTGAGGATGGCCAGATCCCTCTCAGGTGAGCTTACCTTCTGAGTCTTGGGCATATCGGTGTGGCGCTGGGCACGGACAGAACGGGCTGACTTGGCAGGCTTGAGGGGTGCACAATACATCTCCAGCCTCCTCAGATCACAGCTCCGGAAGCAGCACTCGTCCACGATGCCCGTCTGAGGTGCCCTCCGACTGCTGGAGCCATACCCTGTGGGCTTGTCTGTACAAAGCAAGCAGAATGGTCTCATGTTAGGGGAGGAATCTGCCATCTTCACGGACTTCCACCCAGCTCCCGATGCCTCTCCTTTCCCCACATTTAGTCAACCTACACATTCTCTAATGTCTCAACCTCTACTTGAAGATTCCCCAGTAATTCTTGATCCCATGGATCCTTCTGGATTCCAGTATGTCTCCTGAAGTCTGTGCCACGCTTGTTAGCACAAATTCACTCACCACACTATTTGTGTTAATTCTCCCTAAGTTTTAATCAACCTGTTGTCAAGGATCTTGTCTATGCCCAATTCTAGCCTTTCATTATATATTGGTCTACTTAGGAGGATGCTAGTAATATTAATTAAAAGAAGATCATGTACTGTTTCCTTAATCTCTTTAGCAAAGCTGCATAGTTTTTATATGCAGGACAGTCCATATGTTTGCTTTTTTGCTTGACTGCAAAGTCTGGTTGAGCAACAAAGAGGTTTAAGTATGGAAAGGGCTCCTCATTGTACTGATGTGAAAACTAAGACTTGGGGTTGGGAATGACTTGCTCAAGGTAATTTTTGCAGCAAGGTGTGGAGTCAAGATTCAAATTCAGATCTCCTTGCTACAAAGCGCAAGTGCCTCACTGAGCACAGGATACCTGTTAAATGACCGCGGAACAAGTCACTTAAGCTCTCTGGGCCTCAGTTTGCCCATTTGTATGATGGAGTTAATAATATCTTCCTTGTAAGAATTGTTTGAGGATTAAATGAGATAATGTATGATTACTATTTGGCACAGCCCTAAATAAATATTGATTTGCTTCCTCTGAGTACCCTTTCCAGGGACTTATATGATCTATAGAGAAGCGGTGTCACTATTGACTGAATGTAGAAGCCTTGGAACTTGAAACTGATAACAATGCCAATGTGATAGGACTTCCTCTCCCATCAACACAAGAGACCAGAAAAATTAATTCTGTTTTTTATAGAATAACTACCAGACTGAGACAATGAACTAAATGTCTACTTTTCATGTGATTCTGATTACCCAGACGGAACACCATGAAGAACATTTCTTTTGATATTTACAAATCAATCAGACCTCTTTACCTTGGCAAGTGGGTTCTGTTTTAGTTTGATTTTGTTTTGTTTTGGGTTGGACACCTTTTGCCTGGCTCTAGAATGAAAAGAGAGGACAAAGCAAGCTTACGTGGAACTTAACATATACCTGAGTTATTTGTAAACTTTTTGTCACAGTAGACCTTTTGTTAAGCCAAATCTTACATATGCACCAGTGCATGAAACAGCCAAAGTGAATCTGCTCTGGCTCAGGCAAGGGCAGAAGGCCTGGATCTTGGCCTTCTCATATCTTTCCTTATCCCCTTTGGAAGGTGGGCGGCCTGGGTCTTCTCCACTGGCACCCAGGCTTTGTGGAGGAAAATTTGAAAACCACTGATCCAGAAGAATCCAATTAATCAATCTGACACATATTCAATCTTAATTCCTGACAGAAGAAAGCATTGCATTTTAAATAAAAAGTCGTATGTTTGCGTAATAATGACACCATATTTGAAGATGGGGTTTTGAAAGTCAAAATCCTCAAGTATTTTGAACTCCTTCACTAGGGGAGATCAGGCCCATGGTAATGGCCTGCTACCAAACTAGCTTGGCCGCCTCACCGCTGGAAGGGCCAACTGTTCATGGCATCCTCTAAGAGCCCAAATGTTTTCCTGATGCTTGGCACAGGAGCCTGGTGGCTGCCTCCTCCTGTAACGCAGGTTTATTGTCATTCTTAGGGCAGCTGGAGGTAGTAACTCCAACAGGGTTCATTTGTGGTCTCTCTGGGCGGGGTCTGCTTCTCTCTCTCTCTCAGAGCAAACCCTGTGGGCTCCTCATGGATGCGAGGCTTGGGAGGGACCGGCACTGGCGAGCCAAGACTCAGCTGGTCCCCTGAGCAATGTAAACAATGTTTTTTGTTTTTTTGTTTTTATAATCTTTCCTGGAACTATAAATTAGAGGAAAGACACAAATGGGCTTACATGGTTCTTTGTAATTCACAAAGGACTTCTACATACTTTTTGCTAAGTGACTAGCCAGTAAAGTGTAGCCGATACCCTTTGTTTTTGCTCTTCGGGTGGGAAGGAAGGAGAAGGTGACTTGGCCTGTTTTGTGATAATTGTCCCTGTAGTCAACCATAGGTAATGATTGTTTTCTGTTGAAACTATAAATTTCTTAATGGGATGTAATGGGATTCATGTGTTGATTATGAAATAGTAATTTGATGTCTGGGGGTAGGCTCGTAGGAGTTGTTCCAGAAACTTTCAGACTTAGCTAAGTCAGAAACAACTGATTTCAAAATTCATGCTTATTGATTGAAGACAGAAAGGGGTAGGCTTTGGGATTCCAGGACCTATTAAGTATTTCCATTTTAAGCACTTCGATCTTAATCCTGCTTCTGAGATCCCATAGGTGCCAGAGCACTTTGCCTGCTACAGGAGGCAGACACCAGCTTTCACTCTGAGATGGCAAAGAACATTTCTACAAATTTCATATTCCCTTCTTTGTGACTGTCAACAGCCATGAAACTCACCACAGGTTTATTTCCTTTTTTAAAATAGAAAGTAATCATCATCACAGCAAAAAATAACAGCACACACCAGGCATCTGGTTTATCATCTCTCTTAAATAAGCTCAGAGTTGGACATGGCTCTGTCTATAAAACAGTTATGCTTTTTAGTCTACAGACTGACGGATTTAGGAACAGAGAATTTTAGGACATTTCTGTAATGTTCCATAAAGAAAGTTTATCTTATGTCTGTATCTGTTTCTTTGATAGCATAGTATACTGACTTAGATTTTGCCTTAGACATAACTGCCAGTTATTTCTAGCTACCACAATTATGGAGAAATATTTTTTTGTCTAAAAATGAACTCATTATACTTAATTGGGAATATATGAATATAACAAGTGTTTACCTCTTGCCCTTTAAAGTTTAATTCATCCTTTGAAGTATCCTGTAAGGCTTGAGTTCTGGTTCTACATCAAGATATTTAACAATCATCATTTCTCAGCAATTGAGAGACCACAGTTGAGGGCCAAAGGTTTGTCCTGTATCTTCCAATACCACATATTGTTTCTTTTTCCAGAACCACAATAAAGGTATTTGCTTCTTTTAATAAGAGTCTAAAGCTAGCAGCCTGATACTATGTGATTGAATAGAAAGGCAATAAAATAATTTGCTCCAGTATTTGAGATTTTCTTATTTGAACAATAATAGGTATTTTTAATGACCTCTAAATTATACTTTGTATCATTTTGACTAATTTTTAAATGAGATGGGACAAATTGTTCCATCCTTGCCTTTAGAAACTCCTCATTAGGCACTGTGTAATTCTGCTCCAGTGGGCAGAATCAGAATTGGCAGGTGACTAGAAAACAAATATTGGCTTAATATAAGAAGATATTTTAAATATTTTGAACATACAAGTGTTAAAGACTTCCTTGAAAAGTAATGAACTTCTATTGCTGGAAGCAGTTAAGTGAAGACTATATGAACACCTGTCAGAGATCCTGGGAGCAGATTCCAGTATTACACACAGAGGATGACCACTATGGTCATTTCTATTCTAAAGATTCTATGACAAGTGAAGAGATGAAAGAGTAAATTCTGGGCCAAATATTCAATATGGTTGGGAGCTTACATTGTCTTCAAGAAGGAGGTTAAAATATTTTCTAACTTAAAAGGTAAAAGTTTTTTTACTTAGCATTAGAGTTCCCCCAGATGCTCAAAACATTTTTTATTGTCCTTACTCAATGCTACAAAAAAAGATGAGTGACTAGGATAGTGTCTTCTACAATGAGGTACCATCCGAGAGTTGTTGTATTGGCATTATGAAGTGTCTGTGTACTCACTCAACTGTTAGAGTGAAAAGGAATGTGTAACATTCCACAGAATTTTTCTTGCTGACAAAGTCTTGACCTTGAAAACTTATATATTTATATATTTATTTTGTCAGTAGTTTTGCTTCAGAGGTTTCATAGCATGTGGACCAAAGATTTCTTACCAGACAAGTTGTCCACCACCAAACCTAGACTTTGACTCCCCTATGAGTAGACATAATGTTTAGTCACAATGCACTGCTGTATCTTGAAAGTTGGCCAACAGAATTCCAATGGTTAAACAGCTGGCTTCTATAATAACAGCACTTCCCTTTAAATAATGCATGGTCAGTGGAGTAATTCAATAATCTTCAGGACAAACTTGCTAGTTACAAGGGTTTTGGGCAGAACTGTGGCATCATCAAAACCACACCAATTAGCTGAGTCTCACATTTTGTCATGGATGCAAGCAACTCGCTCCCCTACATCTCTGAAGGGAAATGTGTAATGCTGAGATTTAACTGGGGTCATCACTTCTAGAACAAAAAGCTCTGGCCATTCATCACTGGTAAAAATGGTACCACCTCTACTGGTGCTGTATAAGCTTATGTTTCTTATGGGCTTCTGGATATGCAGCTGTGATACTATACTTGACTACTCAACTTTAATTTCCTTTGAAACTTTCCTTCTTGCTTACTGAGAATAACATAGTTAAAAGCCCTACTTTAACATTTTAACTCTATCATTGAAACGAGGAGACACTGATTTGAAGAATCAGTGTTCAAATGATAAAGAATGCAATACATCTAGTTCTGAAGACATACATGTGTTACTTTTGGGGTTCCAAGGAATAAATCTATTCCCTAGAAATTTGCTAACAGTAAGAAGCTTTGAAATAAATATTTTTTTTCAAAAGCAGAAAAAAAAGGTAAGAAGACAATTCAAGTTGGATGTTCAGGGCTATTTCTAGAAAAATTTCAATTAGATTATTAGCAAATAAGAAACTAATCTGCACTTAACTTCGATTAACTAAAGATTGATTATACAACTAAATATCTTCATTTCTTAGTATTCTGCCAGTTATTTAAAGAAGCCAGAAAATTAGTTTTTATACCAATTATTTATTTCAGACCTTTAGACACATTGAAAATTTGGCATAACTTAGAATGGTTATTTTCTTAGGGCAATAATGCTCTGTGGGCCACCTTATCTAATATAAATTCCTTTAGCTGACATAATTTTATATGGGATACTAGTATGAAAATTGTGTAAGATGTGAATAATCTTAAAGTAGTCTTTAAGCATTTTGATTGCTATTTTCATTTGTAGAAAAGGGAAAATCATTTTCCAAACTTTCCTACACATTTGATGGCTTTACAAGGAAAACTGGACTCTTTTTTATAATTCTTAGTATAAAGAAAATTGTGGTACGACTATTACCCAGACCCCAAATGTAATACATTGAATGGTTGATATTTCCTGAATTCATAGGATTTGCATTTAATTTAAATCCTTTTGAGAGTCAGTATTTTACCTTTTACAATTTTTCTATAGAAATCACACTTGAATTAATATAATTATTGAGTAGTCATGTGCTTAGTAAAAATATGGAAGAAAGCTTTTACTACTGTCAACTGGCCACATATTTATGCATTTGGAATATCATAAGTATGTACACACACATACTCAAACACATATTGGGGAATTAAGTGAGTTATTATTAGTATCAAAGCTGATGTCAAACATTTTGAAATTAGGATTGTTTTTGAAAGTTTTTCTAAAATATCTATCTATCTATATATAGCCTGCCTTATACTTTGCTAGTGAACCCTGTACATTTCTGCTTTTCTATGGAAGAGTATTTCCACGTAAGATTGACCTTTCGCATTTGTAAAAGTGAACACTGAGAAAATGTTCTCTTTTCTATGAACTGCATGTCATAAGCTTTTCGTGAAAACCTATCAAATTTAGGTATTGATTTCACTTTTGGCCTGTGTTAATTTTTAATTGCCAGTGTTTTCTGGTCTCACTACCTCTCAATTGGACGTGGTCATCTTTTCTAGGAATCATGGCCCTGTATGACCTGTCCCCACCCTAACCACACAGCAACTCTTTCTCAGCTACTAAATTTCCATAACCTGAAAGACCAAAGTCTTCACATTACCCAATCCAGCCAATGTTTGTGTATCTCTGTGTCTAAAATGATTGAAGCAGAGGGTTCTATAGGGTTGCCCCTTTCTTGAGAACCTCCCTTCTTTTGGGAGCCTAACTCAAAAGCAGGTGTGAAAAGAGTGCTGTTCAGCCCACCTTGGTTTCCAAGGCCAGGGAGCTAAAGTGCAAGGCGTACAGGCAGTAACTAGAGATTCAAAGCAGAAATGTTACTGTTTTAGGACTCTTTGAAGAAATGGACCGACAGAGTGGGAAGCAACGTGATGTATTACTTTAGCTTGATACAATGCCCTGGAGGATGAGCATCTTGCCAGGACAGCACAATTTACTAGCTTAGGTCTGATTCCAGGGCTTGGAAGAGATAGATGTAGCCAAAAAATTATACTTTGGCTAAAGAAATGCTTTGCAGGACAGAAATGTTGTCCTAAGGGAATGGTTTGGTTTATCAACGTCTAAGGTGAAAGATAATCAAATGCCAAGAGGTCATTTTTATGATGTTTGAATTATTTCAGTAGGGCCTGCTATATAAGTTAGCTACAATTTCCTAGTTATATAGTTTTTATTATTTAGAACATATTGCAAAATTTGAGTTTGATCTGCCTGTGACATCTGTTATACTAATTACAGAGGCATTACGTGGAGTGATAAAAAAGCACAGATTTTGGAGTCGGACAGGTCTGGATTCTGCCACTTATTTACCGTTAACCTTTGATTTGGCAAATTACCAAATCTTCTAAGACTCAGACCCTTATATGTAAAATGGATGTAATAAGAGTACCTACCAAGACTGGTATGAAGATTAAGTGAGAATGTATATAAAGTATTTTGTACACTATCTGGTGTGTGGTAAACTATATAAATGTTGGATATTATCATTGTTGTTATGGAGTTGAGTTGGTTAATATAACTAGCTGGGCAGGTATCCTTTTCCTCCTTTACTCTTAAAAATGCATCCTTTAGAAAGTTTGGTTGAAACAGATGGTCTTTCTAGATAGAGGAGGACTGTTATTCATTAAAATAAATGAATAACTGTTCCCTTGAAGGGATATCCAAACTTTAATCTTGTATAGGCTATTGTAAAAACTATATGTTGTATAGTTTTAATCTAGAATAGACATTCTATTAAAGTGGATCCTCCAAGTCAAATAAGGCAAAGTCATATGAGCTTATCACAACACCTTGCTACCTGTGATTTATCTCAAATAATCCACGGTTAAAGTTATTGGCTTTTCAGTGTTAGTATCCACCCATCTTATTTCAAAACAATGCTGCCAGGCATGGGATGAGTGTGGTGAAATACATGATCAGAAGTGGTTTCCCAATCATTTTCAACTAGTGCGTGTATTTCTCTCCTCTCTCTCTGCTTCATGCCTCATCTCTTTTCACTTCTTTTCCTCTCCTCTCCTGCTATTGTCAGCCATTGATATTCTCTTTACTCACTGCTGAACTTTAGGACAAAAGCCCATGCCATTGTAGACTTTGTGGTAGGCAAGGAATTAGCTTACTTCTCTCCCTGTAATGACTGACAACTAGGGCTCCCTCTCCTGTCAGCCATGCTTTAGGAACAAGCAGTCACCAAGTATATGATGTCGCCAGGCCTACTTAATCACTACTCCATCTTGGACCCAAGCCTGAATGAAATGAAAACAGACACCAAGAGAAAGAATAAGAAGGGATGTTGAGGAATCACACACATGGGCCTTGGTTATCTCATTTTTTTTTTTTTTTTTTTTTTTTTTTGAGAAAAGCTGTGACGAAAATTGAAAGCTGAGTCTGGCTCCAACCTGGAGATCGTAGCCATGCCACCAGTATTATCTCCCATACTACACTGTTATTGTTAGTTCACTCTTTCAGATGTGGGAAGAAAGGCCTCGTAGGCAAAACATAAGGCATTAGTGAATAGAGGGTAACGCCCCTCTTTCTGGTGCCACAGAAAGATGAGTCAGCCAAAGGGGTATTAAAACACATTCTCTTTATTTTTAGTTTCACTCTAAAGTCTATCATTTCTCTTTTCTTTGCAACTTGGCACCTGCTCTGCATTTTCAGAGGCCCTACACCCTGTCAGTCTCCTCATGCAGGCCTCTGTTTGTTTTGCCTGGGGCACATCTGGACATTGTCCCAGGGGTGGGAGCGACAGGGTCAGGATGGCAGGTGAAGGGGTGACAGCTGCCAGGGAAGGCTGGCGTGTCTGGAGGGAGAGTGTTGGGAGGTGGGGGCCCCGGGAAGAGAGGCATCGGGCATGCATCAGGAAGTACACTGCTGGAAGACAGCCTCCGCGGCTGCAGAGACAGCCCTTGGCACTATCGCAGCCAAGGAAGCAGCCAGAGTCAGCGACAGATTGAACACAGGGAGAGAGGGAAGCAGGGAGGGAGGACAGGAGGAGTTACATGATATAAATAACTGCATGGCATACACTTGAGTGCCAGTTGGGTTGTGTGTGATATCCCTTTCATGCTGGTGTGTCAACAGTGTTGTTCTTGGATCGAGAGGTCCTGGGGAGTGTTTCTATAGCACCTAGCACAGTGCCATATGCAGAGAGGGAATCAAAAGCAGGCAATATGGTATGTTGAAAACAACACTGGATTCTAGCCCCGGATCCTCTGTGGACTCACAAGTCACCTGAACTCCTTGAGATTCAGTTTTCTCATGGTTGTCTGTTTGGTTATCCAGACAACCAAAGTAGTGGATAATATCTAGCACTCCTTCTACAAATATGTCTCTAAATATTATCTGGATGGTCACACTACTCACTTTCTAATCAATAATGTATATGCATGGCATATCAGTGCTTCTCCTGATAACAGGGAAATATAGTAGCAAAGAGAAGTTTGATCAGAGAACTGGCAGTTTCTTCTTTGTCAGGTTTCATTCTTCATTAATTTCCTTGGTGTCTGTCAATGGTATATCAATCCTCTGTGTGATATTCTTTTCCTTTCAGGTGGGCAGATTCATAGCTTCCCTGGAAATGTACAACTACAACTACTGTTTATCTCATCTCTGATAATGTGAATGAGCTTCCAGACAGGCCACCATCTATGCCATTGGAACCCAACACCTGCCCAGAGGATAAAATCAGAATGTAAAGATTTTAAACATGGTTTTTCAAATGCCACTCCCTTTGTAAATAAAATAAACTACAGCTAAGGTTACTAAAATTTAAAAGTATGCACAAAGAGTGCTCAGGCAAGGTGCAGTAGTATTCATCGAAACACCAAGCAACTATGCAGACTGAGGCTGAATGGTCCATGTAGAGTGTATTTATATTATTTTGGGAAATTTCAGTTAAAATTTGGACTAATCAGACCATTCCATTATTTTTTTCCTTTCTGTGAAACTTTGCTGCTATAATTTTTATCCCCTTTTCTTTTAATATTTGATTGCTTAAACATGATCAAGAGACTTTAAGTTCTTTCCTCCAATTATTGTATTTTAGAATTTCATATATATTTGGATATTATAGAAAATTCAAGGTCAACTAAAGAGGTTTCCTAGTAATCTTCTGGCAATTATTGAGCCTTTAGATTCTAGCCATTGCACTCCTCACAGTGCCTTACCTCTTGAAAATTATTTTTTTGAACTGAAGAATTGAACTATGAATAAGGAGAAAGGGAGAGAGAGAGCTGTGGTTAAGTTACAGCTTGTCTCCAAGCTAAATCTTGTTCTCATCTTTATTTCATCTGGGACCAACATCATGCTTACATTCCCAAACCTCATTAAATGCTTTTGAGCAAATATAATGTCCATCAAGAAAAATCTCTGATTCTCTTATTTATTTTACTAAATTAATCAAAGGAAAACATTTTCAGTTTGTGATATTGGCCAGAAAAATCACACTCTTTTTCATTTTCATTTTTTTCTTACACACTGAGACACACTGCAAATGGCCACATCACTCTGCTTTGGGACCCACTCTGAGGCAATGGACTCTTGGCCCTCTGGCCACTCACTTCTGTGAATTTCCTTTCTGAGAACTAGATATTATTGCCCCAGAAGTCGTTTTCCAATTTATCACACAACCTATCCATGGTTGCAGAATTAGTTGGCCTCATTGAGAACAAGCAATGTGAGGTCTAATGTGACACACAGCTGGGGAGGCTCCTTTGGTGCAGGGACACTGGGCCAGGATGACTGCTTGTGGGCCATGTTATTTCCCCTGACACTTGCCTTCTGTCTGCTCTCTTTGGCTCAGATCTGGGTTTGAGAAAGCTGTGTGAAGCATTGCTTATGCTAACACTTAGGCATAATTAGCTCTCCCCAGCTGTAGCAGAAGTGAGGGCCTAAGTTCAGGGGCTAAATGCTTTTTTCTAGTACACAGTTTTTCATCAGGGCAGCCTCCATTCTCTCATCCCAGCCTTCTGGCCAAAACCTGCTTCATTGTAACCCGAAATGAAACTTTTCACCCTTGGGTGAAAGGAGACTATCAAATCTATTGATCTCTTGATGGGCATGGTTTCCCTAATCTTTACTATGTCAACTAGATGCATATTTGTATTAAAAAACTACATTTAAGAACATTGTGGTTGATGGAAGAAATGACTCTCAAGACCTTGCAGTAGCCTCCATGTAGTAGGGATGGGAGGAGAGAAGTGAAGTTTTTGATTGTGAGTAGTAGGAGTTCCGATAAGAGAATGTGAGAGAGCTGCACACATCTTCATTCAAGCCATTGAAGACGACTTAAAGAAGAGAATTTTAGGAAAAAAAGGGGCTGTTGGTTTAGGAACATTTTAATCTACTTCTAAAGACTTGCTAATTTGTTTTTCTTTCAAGCAACTTCTCCTTATCCTTCTCATCCTTCTTCACTCTGGTTCAAGAAGATACTCTGGTAAAGGTCACCGGTAAAGTCCTAGTCCCCTCATATCTTCTTGTTGAACTAGTGCTCTCATGGTCCACAGAGATCTGCCTTTGGCAGGCATTTCCCTAAGTTGGAATATGAAACATCATAAATTCTTTGCATTTTTCTGAACATCTGTGCCTTCTTTTGCCACATCTTTTTCCCTGGTACTCAACAGGCCATAAATCACCCTGTACTTCTCTTTCCAGGTTGTTGATGTCTTAATACTCACCTTTCAAACCAAATTCCTCTCTTGTCTCTGACTGTGGCTCTTGGCTTTCCACCTTTCTCATCTCCCCTATCAGGGTTAGCCAACTCTGGCATCACCACCAGGGTCTCTTTCTCTTATCTTTCTATCTGGCCTGAACTTTGCATTTCTGTAAATGTCAAGAGTTACTATGTAAACCATGCTACCTGGCTTGCAGCTTAGTTGAGCTTCCCAACATGATTTAAACACAGTATTGCAGACAGTACACCCATACAAGCAAAAACCCTTGAGAAGATGCAAACCTATAGGATACTGATTAGCTAGTGTGAGAGAAGGCACTATAATAAGACCCAAAGATATAATCAAATGAAGTTGGAAACTATTCCATAAACACAAGCTTCTCTTTGAAAGTTAGAGAAATTGAGGCCTTTGCAGTAACACACTACCAGTGGTTTCCCCTTATTGAGTGCTTTCTATTAAGCTAGAATAGTAAATATTACTTTTCATACGTTATCTCATTTACATTCTCATAGCCTCTCCATGGAGCAGGCATTATTGCTATATCCATTTTACATATCAGGAAGCTGAGGCTTGGCAAGATTATACAACTTGACCTAAATCATATATATATATCTAGTAAGTTGCAGAGTCAGGTCACCTTAACTGGGGAAAACTTAAAAGTGGGACAATTCTTTGGTGATGAAAAACTGTGAAGTTTATATCATTACTGAGATTCTTGAGGGCACATGATGCTAATATCTCATGAAAAATATGGGTGAAGTCATCTAAGCCAGCCCACCAATCCCAGGGTGAGCACATGCAGGACACAGAGTTTTATCCTAGGTATTTTGGAGAATGCCAGAAGGAATGCCATGCATGGCTTTTGCCCTTGAGAAAGAAGTCTGTGCACTTCTGCAGTTTAATGCAGGATGTCCATGGCTGGATATTGGCTGCTCACATCTCACCTAGTACACTGTGACTGACAAGAGTCACAGAAATGTTTCAGTTGGGGTAGCCGCTCTGTTACATAGCCAGATCATCCTGTTTCCAATCCCCTTGAATTGCACAAAGTTATAACAACGTTAGCATACACTGAAATAGAGAAGTTTTACCCATAATCTTGATATCCCAACAAATTACATTATCTTCATTTTTTGAATTTTTTTCTAGTTCTCATCCAGATGCATACATTACTCCAACATGGCTATAGTCACAGCCTAAATTTAATGTAGTACTGTATTTTTTTCCATTTAACATTATATTGCAAGTATTTCCCTTATTGCTACATGGTCTTCATAATTATGATTTTAAAGCTGCAGAACATTTTATTGAGTAGATTTGACTTCTTTTGTTTCTTTAATCATTTTCCTATTACTAGACATGTGGGCTATTTACCGTTTTATCATTATTTAAACTATCCCAGCAATAAGTGTCCTTGTACACATAACATTCTACTCATAGATCATTTATAAGAATAAATTCCCAGGAATGGAATTACAGAGTCAAAGGGTATTATCAGACAATCCCATTTTGATGAAAGCCTACAATTTTGCGTAAAGACAAGAAGGAATGTAATCAACAAAGCAGTGAATTATATCCAGATTTTTCTCCCAGGATTAGAAAAGAGACAGCCAAGGTGGAGCACAAACAGGAATCTTACCTGCATCCTGTGAATTAGAATAAATGAACCAATTTCTGTTTTCAATTACTAGTGCAGTTTCCTTTGAAGGAAACATGGGGTGTAACCAAGACTTGAGCTTGGCATCCAAAGGTTTTCTAAGTAGAAGAAAAACCAAGGAAAATGAAATTGATGACAAGAGACTCTGGTTCTCAACTTTCAAAATCACCAAGTACCTATGAGGTTTCTTCTCTAAGGTAGGGATAGGGAAGATTCAAGGAACACAGCTGCCAAGACAATACCATACCCCAGGGTATGGAGTAGGAGAGTTTGTATTGTAAATAACAAAGGCTCTGCTCTCATGTTCCTTCTGAACCCAGGTTATCTCTGAAGAACCCGGTGTCTGCCCAATCTGGTGTCACTCAACCATCTTTTGGGGCATGATATTCCTGACAACATGCCTTCCATCCATCCCCAAATCTGGCTAAGCACATCTGTTCTACTTTTACTACATTATTCCTCTCCTGCTTATGATCACACATGTTTATTGAGCAACTACTATATTCAAGATGCTGTTCTCAGTACTGGGGATAAGAAGTCAACAAAATGGACACAAATGGGACAACAGGTCACCATCCCTTAAGAACCCTGATTACTGTGGCATCCTTAAAGGAAACTATAGGGCAAAGATGCTAGACTCAATAGTTCGATGACAATTGCTCAGAGAAATTTGTTGAAGTCTCAGTCTAGCAAGAGAAAGTTCCTTCAGCCCCTAGGTGAAAATTCTTGTCTGACTGCTTTATTCCCATTAACCTCTCTGAATGTGTACAATGATTATTTTGTGCATTGTAAGTTAGCGCTTAACTATATAGTAGCCCTTTATTTTCTGTTTTGTGAAGAGCACCACACTTTTCCAACTTAGTTTTAAGCATCTTGAAGGCAGAAGCTGCTTCTATGTCTAGGAGCACAGCACTGGGCAGTTAGGCACCTGACAAATGCTCACTGATTAGTGGATTGACAAGTTGGGTGCACAAACAATACCCAGAGAGAAGCAAAATGAAGAAATTTGTACATTGAAAAGAAGAAACCTACTGTCAGGACCAGCCTCTGTGTCTCCATTTCCTCTCTTGTTATTAATAAAAAAGAGTGATAATAATATTTATCTCCATAGGGTTGTTGTGAGTTAAGACACAGGAAGAACTTGGAACAGGTTGTGGCACAGAACAAACACTCCCAAAATGTCATCTAACATCACCCCTCAGCATCACCATTATGAACTGATTGTGAGGTTGTGTGGTGAAGTGGTTAGAACACAGGCTCTGGAGCCCCTTTGCCTGAGTATAGATGCTAGCTTCACTATTTCTAACCATGTGACTGTGGGTAAGCTACTTAACCTCTCAGGTCTCATCTGAAAAGGGGCACTATCCACCTCACAAGGTGCTTATGATGAATGCATGAGTAAACACTTACCAAATGTTAGTTAAAATTACTCAGCAAAGATCATCGGATGGCCATTATCTGCCTGGACTTGGTGCTCAGAATACAGAAAAGGATAAAGGAAATAGTCTCCCCTCAGGGAGGCTGCAGTTCATGGTGCATCTCAGCATTATTGATCCATTCAGCTAACTCCAGAGAGTGTCTGGCAGTTCACAAATCACTTTCACACACACTCCGTGCTTCAGCCATTTTAGCAACCTTATGAAGCAGATGGAATTATCCCCATTACAGGGATGAGAAAACTGACAGTGACTTATGAATCCAGAAGTTCCTTTGATTTCAAATGGCAAGACTTCTTCATCCATATGCCTGTCCCCAAGCCTCATGAAAGGATGCATTTTAGGTTTATGTCTGTGGGGGTTCCCGAA